CGCTGACAGAGCCCCACGGATGGCGGGCAGAGCAGCCGCCCGCGCCGGGGCATGCGAAACGTCCTCCACGCGCCCCTTTCAACAGAATCAAGCCTTTAAAATCAATCAGATCGAGCCTTTCTGAAAAACGAGGGGAAAACAAGTCACTCCTCAAATAAATACACACAGTTCCCCATGGAATTAAGTCACATGCGTGGAAGATCTGAACCGCAGTATCAAACATACAAAGCCGTAGTCAGACGTGAGTGCTTGGTGTTTATTGCGACAGTGCTGAAGTAAAGGGAGTTTTCGCTTCTAATAATTACCAACAAGTCATTTATTTCATTGACAGTTAAAGCCTCCACAATGGTTTAAAATATTTAAATTATTACTTTTCTACATAGCCAGAAGCTTTGGATGCGTGAAGCCAAATATACGTGTTGTTAATGCATCTTCTCTGTATTCCTTTTAGCAGTTTACTCCATTTTTTGCGAGACAAGTGCAAATAAAGACACAATTGCTGTTTTTCTAAAGTGTTTGAAATTAGGTGCTAATTTAGCAAGTATGAGGTTTCCTACTTTAAATGTATACACAGTTCAGACAAAGATTTGAAGTAACATCGATCTATGTCTATTTCAACAACATAATAATCCCAACATTTTAAAAATGCAGCTGAACATTCACTTATCACAGAAGCAGACAAAACAGATCCTCCCTTGCTTATAATAAGAAACCACTTGTAAGAAGGTTTCTTCTTTAGAAAGACAAAAATCCTAAAATCTATTTTAAAGTATAATGTAAGCCATAAATGTTGTAGACCATATTTCTAGGTCTTAAATGTCCTTTAACAAAAAATAGTTATGGTAGGTCAATAGTCACAGAAAAAATGATCTAGAATTGATTTAAACAGTGAATATATTTGGAAAGATTGGGCCAGCGATTGCTTATGGAGCAGATGTGGCCTACTAGAAAGCAGATGAAGCTCAAACTGATTTTCAAGCACAGAGGGTCATGAAAGTCTTTTCAAGTTCTCAAAATCCTGGACTAGCATCTCCAGTGTATTTAAAGATTTCAGTCCCCTTTTCCAGCAACCTTCACAGCTGCAAATTCTCGATTTCCTGATATGTTCTACCTATGAAGAATCAGTGCCCAGCGTGCTATTATATACACCCTGCACAACACGGATCTGCCATTCAAATGCATCCTATCCTGTACATACGTCCTCTTCATTGGCGGGGCCGGCAGAAACAGCAGCCAGCACAGCACTGTACAGCTATGCAGGATGCTTGCAACTATGGAGCCCTGAAAACCGGGATGTTTGCCGCTATGTGAGAAAAGTAGCCACAGAATTCCTATTAATGCTTGGGCCTTTCAGTTATCATTGGCTTGATAGGGAATTAAGATGTTGAGGCCTAGTAAGGAAGAAGAAAAACATATCTTTGTGCAGGTCAGTAAAGTGACCAAGCAATTAACAGGATACTTACAAAAAGCCAGACTAGACTATAAACTTTGGCTGTTATTTTAAACATTGGTGTTATTTTAGAACTGATGAAACTATTTTGAATATTAAATTGTAATTTGGAAATGGTTTCAGGCTTTGTGCTAAGTCAGTACCTGATGGCTTGCTACATTTTTTGCTAAATTAATTCAACCAGGAAAAAGGCAAATGGTATTCCCATAAGGAAAGGTCTTCCCTCAAGTGCAGTATCAAGGACAGCAAAAAAAATCCTGACTCTCTGAGCTGATAGAACTCTCTTAAAATAAATAGAATTAGGATTTCCTGCTACAGCTCTGTATCTCTGCCTTACACTAGAAGCACACCAAACAGGACCATTTGAAATTTTCAGGGGGCAAGAACGATCCCTTTGAAAGCAAGATTTGACCCCCTTGATTTTATCATGATGAACCTCCAGCTATTTGTGTCCTGATGTCTGCATTGTAATCATTCAAGTTTTAAACTTAGTAGCACAGACTTAGAAGCACTGATCGCTATAGCTTCTACGCTATGAAGTCTGCAATGCTATCAAATTAGCAGCATAGACTACTAGAGTCAGAAAAGGGCATTTCCCTGTGGTGAATTATTCCATTATTGCCTCATAAGCCACCTTCTGCAGCACCTGATCCCAACCCTGATCCGCAGACCACACTTCTGCTCCAGTCTAGCAATTTCTCTACTCTCCCACCATCTTCTCAAAGGCAACTCCAGGCCTTTTTTGTTCAAGGGAGAAATACATTCTGTAAGGGGCTTTACAACACGATAAAATTATTATCTTTATGGGCTATTCCCTCTTCCATTTGTAAAGGAGAGAGTTTTGCATACAACACATTACATGCCTAGAAAGAAATCAGTAGGGAAAAGAGAAGAGTGGCTGAGTGCACCACACTGCTGACTCCTAAACTTCCAGCTGCTTGCCCATCTTGCTGAGGGCATCGCTGACAATGTCCAGCTCATGACGTAGCTCATTCACCACACTGGCAATGCTCTTCATGTCTTTCAGGATCTGCACACTTTGAGTATATGGATTGTACTTCACGCCAAATGGGCGCTTGATGGTTTTTGCAAATTCTCTATTCAAAGTAAAAAAAGAGAGGGAATTATAAACAAAACACAAATGGATCTGCTGTATGCGGTCAGTATCAATAACCACTTTTCTAAACTACTTACTTCCTTAAAAATAGTTTTAATCATTACATAGTTCATCATCTTTCCCACCCAGTACATGGAAGACCAAGCAAATGCTGATCTCTGCTTTCCAACCCCATGAAAAATAATTATAAAACTGTGATAAGAATGAAAGGGTTTGGTGCTGCTACTGAGAGATGCATGAAATCAAACCTGCTTTTATAAAACAGGGAAAAAAAAATCTGTACCTCATCTTTTCCTTTGCTTCTTCAAAACTTTCAGAAACAAAGTAAACCTCCTGGAAAGTTGTGATGAGGCATTCTTGCTTGCAGGTGACCTTCGGATCAAAAGGCTTGACTTTGGCACTGCCAGAGAGCGAGTGCTGGTAACATAACGTGTTATGTGTCAGGGGAACATCACCACCCAAATAATCCACAAGGAAGATGACATGAGGTAGGGTGAATAAAAAGAGATTAAGTGAGACCATATTTAATGCATTGCTGCTTAAAATTTTTTCACAGCAGTTGAAGCTTAACAAATAGCGTAACTTTGAACAGTCATATTCTGCCAATCTGGGTCAAAAAAAGGGATTCCTCAGACACAAGGCTTGTGTAAACAAGAGCAATATTTTCAGAATTTGGTTAAACCAGCAGAGCTTTGTTCTGAAAACAGTTACTTGGGCCTAACATTAAGAAATACCAGTGATCTAATGTTTCCTGCAAAAGACACGGGAGCTGCTTTTGGCATATATCCAAAAGCAGACTTTCCAGTGATTATTGCCACCATGAATTTGCTTAAGTCTAGCAGGTATCTAAGAGTTTTCAAAACAAGGATTTTTAGAATTATACTTCATAAGAAACAGGGCAAAACAGTGATAATAATAATCAGGTACAAACAAAGAAAAGACATAAATAAGCAGCAGATATTCTTACCTTGAGCTCACTAATTGAAGAGAGCAAGCCAGCCCCATAAACTCGTAGCTGTCCCTCTTGCTTGCACAAGCCAAACTCTACAGTGAAGAAGTAGCACTGAAACAGAGAAGGGAGTAAAATAATTCAGGCTTCAGCAAAAATGCTGTCATGAACTAGATGGGGGGCATTTCTATTTGTAGGTAGTGTCAAATAGTTGCAAATATCAGACAGTCATCACTTGGTTATCTTTCTCAGATATTTAAAAGAAAGCCAGAATGGAAGGGTGAAGAATCACAGGATTACATGCTTCTCATAAGAAAGATGGATATTATAGATCACCCAAATAGGCTATAAGCTGTTAATATCAACAGGAACATGGAGACATAAAACTGTTTTGAGAAATATTGTCATGACATGGCAGCTTGAGCTTAAAAGAAACACTGTATAGAGAGGATCTCTGTAAGCAAGTTTGTTCCTTACTTGCTCAGTGGCCTGTAAAACTAAAGATGCTTAGTTTGCAGGATTTCAGGATTTTTGCAGGTATATGGTGGCTTAATTCTGCTCCCACTGAAGGTAGTAGAAATTTTACCACTAGCTACACCAGGTGGGGAAAAAAATTAACAATATCAGCAAACCAGTTCTTTCATACTTGCATAAGTTATTTTTTACCTTAATTTAATTTTCATCTTAAAATATTTTTGCCAAAGCATCTAGAAACTGATATCCAGGAAGTAAGATTAATTTATATTATTTTAATTTCTTGGCTGAAAAGTATCTAATGCTAATGCTTACCACATTCAATGAAAACAACATATAATTTCAATTAATTCTACACATTAAAGATATAGATTACTTTTAAAGTCATTGAATCACATTCCCAGAAGTAAAAAGATTCTGTCTGGAAGAAACAGACCATAGAATTTCAACCTGGAAGAAGTGATCTACCAGCAGAAGTTGCACCCTTACTTGACAGCCAAGTGAAGAAAAATACCAATCATATCAACCTTAAAAGGTATTTTTTTCCTTGAACGGAAAATTGTTATATGCTCTAAAAGCCAAGAACCAGTGAAACACATAGGTCTAGCAGCTGGTATGGCTAATGTTGATATAAAATTCCAAATTTATTCAGTGGAGTGGAATCAGCCTAGTAAAGCACAAAGCTTTCAATGGGATCACCAGGCACAGAAACACTCACTGTTGCCAGTTTTTGGACAGCCTCATCTGATGCCCCAAGTGATGCAAGACCAATTTCCTGGGAGAACTGAGCAAAACTGGGTTCAGCCAAAAGAGGGACGTGGCCTAGGAGCTCATGGCAGGTATCACTGGAAAAAAAAAAAAAACACAAAAAAAGAAATCTCATTATCTGTCTTTGTGGTAAAGTGCTGAAAAAGCAGCACCACTGAACAGATACAATGTCTTGTGTTAAACTCTGCAATACCCAAAAGACAGAAAAGTGTTAATCGTGTTTAGCTGAAAATAATTGAGCAGGTCATACCAGCTCTACATATGTATATAAACTCAGATTTTCAAATGAAGCTGTCTAAAATTAAGATCTGAGCTGCACATTTATGTGGCAATTGAATATTAAACTAACGCTGTGCACAATGACATCAGTAAGAGCTCCCCAATAACATGCTGTACTTCTGAAAATCCTCTACTTATGAAGGTGGCACTTGAGCATGCTAAAACTGCATTACATTCAGCATGAAGGCTGAGTCTTCAGCACCTTAAAAAAAAATAAGTTTTCTTGATGGTGTTCTTGAAAAGCTTTTAAGTAGCTTGGCTCTGGGCAGTGAGATTCAAAACTCTCAAATTCTACCCCAAGATTAAATGACTCACGGCTCTGGTGTATAGAGAGGGTCCGAGCTGTGTCTAACATATTGAGTGCAGTGAAAAACTCTGAATGCTAATCCTGCCAAGAAGTCTCTGGGTGATAGGTATCCAGCAACGGGGCGAATGGTGAAACCTGTGCGCTCTGAAAGGGAACAGAGAAATTGCACATTAGTTTAGTGTAGAATTCCACAATGCTGTCACCTTTCCTGCTACAACTGGGGTAAAAGCCACAGCACTACCATGGCTCAAAAGCATGTGGGAAAGTTAGGCACGATTAGAAAATTTGGCCTAAGCTTGAGAAAGACCAATATTTAGGAAAAATGTCACTACCTCTGTATAGGTGGATTGCCTACCATTTCATGCTTAGAGCCAACACAATACAGCTAGGTATCTCTTTAGCCAACCTTAATAGTCTCTTCAGAGGGAGCAGTGCCCCTCAAATGTCACTGTTTGTATATATTTGAGACACAATACATTAAAACACTGATGGCCAAAAGGCCTCTTAACAGACCAGAATGAATACAAGCAAAAGTGACCAGGGATGTTTTTTCATGCCCATATAATAGCAGTGTGACTTGCAATGGACCTTAGTTCCTTTTCATGTAAGAAAATTAGTACATTACCTTTCAGGAAGCGGGACACATCTTCCAGCTGGGGGATATTGTCTTCCCTGTACCCACAATATTTGGTGAGCAAGGGTAAGTTTTTAAGGTACTCTCTGCAGGCATGAGTTGGGTAAAGCTTGTTAAGCTCTCGGTACACAGTCCCCCAAGTCTTGATCTCCTCCTCAGTAAATTCAATCTTGGGAATTGGGTCACCACTACAAGGGGAAGAGGAAGAAAGGACATTCCTTGGTAAATGGCTAATAACAGATGACTCATTTACTTACCATTATTATTTAACATTTATATGGGTGTGACACCCGTCAGGGTTAAGACCCCATTGCATTAGGTACTGTCAAATACACAGCAAGATCTGGTCTGTGCCCTGGAGAGTTTTTAGTCAAAGGGCTTGCTCTCTTTTCCACCTCAATCAGCTAACAGGAATCCTTGCATCAACCTCACTGGAACCTGGATGCTTTGGTCCTGTGAACAGTTTCTTAGGTGATTAATGCCGAGAGTAACATTTAAAATACCTGCAAAACCTTTACAGCTTCAGGAGCTCAGAACACATCCTTTTCCCTGTAGGACTTCCCTCTCTATAATTACTTCCCATTACCTTTTTGATTTGTTTTAGAAAAAGAGAATTCCCTAAATTAGTAACACAATGCATAGAAGCAGCTAGATATACACATCAGGTAAAAATCATGCTTCTATGCAGAGACAAGTGTCTGTCTGAACATAATTAATTGTAATTAAAGTGGATTATAGCAAGGGTGTCACCTAAAGCCCACTGAAGGCAATGGGAGTGTTACACTGAGCTTCCACTACCAGCCAGGTAACCAGCAAGGCAGATGCTTTCCCAAGGGAATCTCTGTTAACAACATATTAACAGTAACCGGCTCTGTGCTGTGGTAACCAGTTGCATTAATACACGATGCAACAGAGCTCAAGATACCCACCATTCCTAGGTCATTTCCAACTGAGGAACTTGGCATCTAAATTCAAGCAGGCCACAGCAACATGGAAATAAATTTTAGAATTTACAACACTCAGCTATGACACTCTTACTGCTTTAAAAGCTCCCTCCCCCAAGCAGCATCTCTAAAGACAGAAGCGCTTCAAGTTTTTCACAGAAAACTTCTTATCTATACATCACATGCACTAGTTTGAACCAGGAAAGAAAACTCAAGTATTAACATTTGCCCAGAGAGTTTACGCTCAGTGGTCAATGAGCTATATATTGGGGTTTGGGCAATATTTGGGCAGACACCAATCCACCCTAGTCAAGTCAGTACATCCTGGCAGAGGCAGCTGTGTAGCAGGCATTGTCCACCCTCTTCCTTTGTTGCACCCATTTCCAGAGAAGCGGGGAGGGACTGAGAGTCCAAATGCACCACACTGCAGGAAGCCCATGCTGGCATCGCTGCCCATCTGAGGATCAGCGCTGCCACAGGTGCCATAATGGCCGAGCAACAAGGAGCTGATCCTCAGACCGATCAGAGGCCCGGGGAGCTGTAAGATGGCCTAGATCTACCTTTTAATCCTGTCTTACATCTCCCTTCGTTTTACCCCCCACCCCCAGCTCCGATGCCCGAGCAAAGCACGTCTCAGCGAGATCAGAGCCCAGGGAACGTGATCTCCTGCCAGTCCACTCTGCTATTCTTTCAAAGCACCCAGAAGGCTTATTCTGGAAGAAGTAGAGCTTACTGTTTGTAGTTCATAGCCAGGTCTGCAAAATACTTCCGCCTCTTGCGATAGACATTGTCTTTGAAACCCTGGGGGAGGGGGAAGGGGAAAAACAAAGTTAAATGATTTTCCAAACTGTAATAAATAAATTACTTTAAAACAAGACACTTGAAATTTATTCAGTTGGGAAATATAAAAGTATGCTGTCTAAGAATGGGAGAACAGGGCAGGAACCTTATAGCTGTAGTCTGAAATGTTTAATAACTGTGAACTAAGCAAATACTCCAATTCAAAGTAAGGATCAGCGGTTTTATGCATGTCACTATATATTCAGTAGCCAAGGATTTATTTTAGTCATATCAGTGTTTATACAAACTTTGTTACTTGCTTGATTATTCTAAATTACAGGACAAATTGCCCATTTGCACTGCCCAAATACCGATTTGTTTGTTCCATTTATATTAGGGAAGAAAGAAAGACGAGGAACCAAGCCTGCCTCACAACAGGATTTTTTGGTTGGTGTTTTGTTTTGTTTTTTTTTTTAATTTGTATGCAACGACTCAGGGCCCAGACCTGGAGTCCTCGCATGAGCAAGCCCTGCAGAAAGGCACAGGAGCTGAATTCAGTGACAGCCTTGGTTGAACTAGGAAAAAGATACGAAACTTCCAAGAGAAGGTGCTCAGACCCACAGAGGCCCCACATTGAGAGGAATAAGAAAGAGGAGGAAAAGCTGCTTTTTTTTTTTTTAAAGTAAGCTCCACAAAGTACATTTTCACTAAGGATTGAGCTGGGGGGGAAAAGATACTTACGGGATGGTCAGCATCCAAATCGGACCCATACATCAGCACTCGGTTTGCACACTTATCCAAATCTGAGATCTTCTTCGGAAACCAGGGAACATTCTCCATGTCTAAGGAACGCATGGAATCCACAAAGTTATTAATAACGCGAGCGTGCTGAGGGAGGAAACGCTACTTTCAAGTATGGCTATGGTGGTTACAAGCGAAATCTATAAATTAAAGGGGTCATGAATAAGACAAGGGAGTCCACTGCCTATCTGGCACCACCCTACAGCTCACACTTCCTCCTCTGTCACTGCCACAGTCTGCCTACAGAGCACAGCCAGCTCCAGTGTCCAGGGGAGGAAACGGTTAATACGGGTTTTTTGCAGCCCGTAACTGTTATTACTGGTAATGTTAGAGTAGTATCTAGAGGCTGCCACTGAGACAAGGCCTCCTTGTGCATGCTGCTGTGAATCTTCTTGGGTACAAAGGGTGCAAAGGAGCAGAGGAGTGATTTGCCTGTGGTCCCTAGGCAGAGTGGGACCAGGTTTGAGTCCTCCCATCCCGCTTTACTGACCATGGGAAAGAAACATTACCCTGTGGTTAAGTGCCTCAGAAGCATCCAGCTTTGCTGAGGCGTTTGTGGGGAAGAAGAACAGAAGGAGGCAGTTTCAGCCCTGCAGCCTTAGTTTGGCTACTAACGTTTTTGGGGGTTTTTTTTAAGCCCAAGAGAGTTTATAACTGAGCTCTTGGCAGAGTGGTTAATACACTGTTTTTCTGTACCATTGCTCTTTAGTTTTCTTAAAAAGGACAGGGGAAGTGTTTAGGTTGAAATTCCCCTTACTAAAGTAAGCTGTTTTTATCCAAGAGACACCAGATCTCACCCTGCTTGGGTGCAGGGACTCCCATTCACACCAGTTGTGCTGTGTGGAGAAAGGATGGGAGCACAGATGACAGACACACAATTTGCACCAGCCTGAAACAGCACGTATTCCTAGGTGACACCAGCCAACACAGCCCTGCTCATATCAGCCAAGCTACACTCATTCACAACACAGAAGCATAAACCTGGTAGCTACTGATTGAAAACACTACGCAAATGCAGATGCAGATGCCAAAAAACAAGACTTCAGAACAACACATTGAGAAGTACATTTTCATCAGAACCGCCTTTTGTACTTACCATCTTCCTGAACGTTGAAATGCTCTGTCGGGTTCATAGAGATAACGTTTACATGGGATTTCAAGAGCTGGAAGATCTCAATCAGTTGTTCCCTGTTACTGTCACAGTCCACAAAGATCTCAAACTCAGAATTTCGTCTCTTGGACTTCCGTGACTCAATGTGCACCAGATTTACATGCTTCTCCTGTTTTGTAAGTAGTAAGGTTTTCAAACAGATTGATGAAAAACTAAAATTTGTTTTTCAAACAAATACTCACCACCTTTGTGAAACTATTTTGATCTCTTGATAGAAGTTTGCTTATTGGAGGGGAGGGAGGATGGTTTGATTTTAAAAGGCCTCCCATTCAGAAGAAAATGAAAGAGAGCCTTCGTTCTTTCAATTTCATTTACAGTCAGGAAGCACAGAAAGACAGTCAGGAGGCTTAAATTCATAGACCTTCTTCTTTCATCCTTCCCATAGGAACCTGATTAGCAACTGGGTCTGGGGAAATTCACTAAAATGCCAATCAAGTCACCATATAATTATCTCACAAGCAAGCGAGTGATTTAAAAGCAGTAGGTTTCAGGGCGTAAATTAAACTTCTCTTTCATTTGAAAAATTATTTAATCTTCTATCGGGAACACAGAGAAAAACCCAAGCTAAGACATGCAGGGCCAGATGACAGAGCACAGTGGCACTGCGCATATTCCTTGTGCAATACCTACCCAGCAATCGAAGGAGTGCAGTTGTGCAATCGCAGTTCCTTGTCACCCTCAGTCCAGGCAGGCAGGGTGACAAGGGCACAGGACTCAACCCAGTGCAGGTCAGCACCCCAAGTGTCTACCTGCCATCGGCAAGAGCTTCAGACCCACCTCTTGTATGCAGCAGAAACCATGAGTGCCAACCCTCTTCTCATGAGAGGAAAAGACAAAACTCTCTCAGTCTTTAGTAGGTGCAGATGATACATTTTGTGAAGATTTTTAGCCAGACAGTGTCTGATTTCTGAGGCATAAATTTGCCTTCGTGGGTAATTTTGGGTGCAAAATGGCAGCCAGGTTAGGAATCACATCCTTAATAAATGGATGTAATAAATTCTAGCGTGTTCCAAAACTGTCCTTACAATTTAAAAATACAAAGCTGCTGGAGCAATGTGATTATTACATACCTGAAAGAGTTTTAATGCTTTTACAAGTCCTCCGACTTCATTCTTCAAGGAAAAAATGATGGCTGTTCTCCCTCTTTCAGATGCATGGTCTTCATTCTCTTTATTATCCTCAATCATCATGTAATTTGACTTATTTAACTAAATGCAAACAAAGAAAAAGATTTTTTTTTTAATGGCTAGTAGTCCAAAAAGTGTAAAGTTTTACATTTCAGTTTGGCTTGGGGTAATATTGTACTTTGACTGATCAACCACAAAAGAAAACTTGCCAATTAAATCATTACACAATAACAGGCATAAAAGTCAAGCACATGTAGCATCTGTGAGAGCTGAGGATGAAATGCTGAGATTTCTTTTTTTCACTTGAATGATTTTATAGACCTCTTTAGTCATTCTCTAGGATGCAGAAAATGTTTTCAAAGTATGGTTTATAACTAGTTTTTTTTTTTTTTTTTTTTTGAGGCGGGGGGAAGGATCTATAACACGTCAGAAGAAACAGTAAGTGGAACAAAATCCTTGTTAGCAAATGTGATGAACATTGGTAAAGGGAATAATCCAAAACCTGCTGGATATAGGTGGGAAAAGATAGATCAGGATTTAGTAGATCAGAACTGAAAAATCATTGCCTTTCTCCCACTACATAACCACAAAGCACCAAGTTTACAGAGAAAGGAGACAAAACCTAAGGAGTTAAAATGTTGTGCTGACCAGAATCTGTTGACTATAGAGATGGCCCCATTCTGATCAACCACAACCAAGCTATTCCGTCTGTTGGGTCCCCCAATTCACATGCCAAACCCTTACCATAATCACCCAAATCACACGCTAAAAATTTTCAGACAACCAACGCTGTAGGACCATGGGGTTTTGTACATTACTAGTGATCACGCTCCTGACTGTGTTGAAATCCACGGATATCACAGACCATATTCTTAGCCACATGTAGCCAGGCCATAAAGAGAGGTAATATAGGAACAATTAAGAATGCAGAAAATGCAAAGTAAAGAAAAAATGCACAGTTTAGAAGCAGAGGCTGTGTCTCACATGTCTTCAAACCTTGCAAAAAGAAACAAGAAAGGTGAGGTTTCTGAAGGAGCCAGTGAGAAAGAGGAGAGGAACAATGAAGGCATGTTATTGCTATTTGGGATTATTTTTTGATTTGACGAGAGTTTTTAAAGATACGACTACGTGGTGACAACTCATCAGGAACGGAAAGAGCAAAAATAAAAATGCAGCAGTTCCACCAATTCCCTTCTACAGTCTCTCCAGCTGTAACCCCTTTAAAACGGATAATATTGTACAGCTAAGGATTTCTATCTATAAGAGATAAGTTTACAGATAAAAACCAAATTTGACCTATCTTTTATCAAAACGTTCCCATTTATCTTTCAGATTAAGAAGATAATCTGCCTGACAAAATAATGAAGTAATTAGTTAATTTTAAATTGAGTGGTTTACAATAAGGCAGGTATTTAATGCTGCTCTAAGAGAGGTTTCAAGCAGGTTACCAGCTGTGAGCTCTTTAGGATGCAGAGTTGGTATCCTGTGGAAGGCCTCTTGCTCCAAGCCCACTGATGCTCATGGAAATAAAACCACTGGATTTCTGACTTGGTCCCCATCTCTTAACAAGTTGTCACTATATGATGAGCCTGGATGACAGCGCCAGTCCATCACACTGTTTCTGATCCAGCAAAGCCACTGATCTCCATCAACTTGAGTCCAAACATCAGATTATCTGCTGAAAGTGGGTGATGGGGCCCAATCCAGATTCTGCTGAGCAGCCTGCAGGTTTCACAGCTCACTTCAACAAGTGTCAGATCAGTATCACAAGAGCCAGGAAAAGGCACTGAGCAGGGGTACTCCATGCAGAGAAGAAAAGACTAATAACCTCACAATTACATATAGGTTATTGGCTGTTTTCTCAAGTGCAGAGATAGCCATTTGCATGAGCCATCCTACTCGGGTGATATTGTTGTAGAAGAAGCTGGATGCAAAGAAGTCTCCGTTACAAATAGATTGTAGTCTTTGAAGGCAAAAACTGTTGGGCTGTTTTATATACATGGCTCATACACAGCATATTGGCTTGATTCCAGTTCAGGATCATTGACTTAAGACAAGATCAGCTTATGAGATTTGGCACAGTTGCATGCAATATTATAAGGTGCACAGCTAGGACAAACTACGTGCATTGAAGACTGATGTTCTTATTTCGTATTTTGCTAGTTCAACTAACATTGTGTTTAAGATCAAATGACAACATTTGTAAAGTAGTATGTTTAAAGAGACCAACGAAGAAAATAACAACAAAATGCAGCGTGTTTTTACATTAAGTTCTAAAAATTACCTCTAATTTAAGAATTTGAAAAAAGTTGCAGAAGGGAAATTCGGATGCCTACAATGCCAAACACACACCATTTACACTTTTAACCCTAAACCAGCATTAATCTTTGGCTTTCAATTAAAAAATGGACTGAAAACATGTCTGCATTAAGGCAGCAACCATTTTGGTACGAGACACAAGAGAAAATGGTAATGCAAAAATAATTCCTCCTCCAACAGCTGCACTTTTACTTTGATTTTATTTGTATCAGTAACTCAGCTCTAGTAAACTCTGACACTTTTCCTTTGCAGGGCAGGAATTAATATTGCGGTGATGCTTATTATTAATGACGCAAATCATTAACTCATTTCCCATCAACCTGACTCAAGTCTTAATGAAAATGCACAAACACAAGGATACTCTAAAGCCGTTATTTAGACAGGTATCTAGGTGTCTTCTGGGTAAAGATGGCTCCTTCTGGAACCCACAGCAATTACCTTCCCTTTCTCCCCTTCCTGAAGAATATCCTCTACGAGATAGATATTTGAGGGTGTATATTTTGTGCTTTAATTCTTTATATTAATGGATAGCCAAGATTTAAAATTGTCCAAACATATTCATCTATAGGAAATTACATTTTAGAGCCATAAACGGAAGACCAAAAAAATCTTTTAAAAAATGTATTTGATACAGATTGCCATTAATTGTGCTTGATAAAAAAAAAATCTCAACAGGCGTTTTACACCCTCTCCATCTTTAAGTAGCTGCTTACTTTTTCCCTGTCCTTTTCACATACTTCGTAGTAGGGAAGGATGAAGACTCGATCTTATGAGTGACCATGACTAGATGTCCTATTACAGGGAAATTTTTCAGCCACACCAAAGGTCTTACTTAGATTTAGTTCTCAGACACCAAACCAAAAGTTGTGCTGACCAGTTTATCTGGCTTCCAAAGATCCGAGAGACAAGGCAAAACAATCTTTTGTGAAACTTTACTCCGTTGCAGTCAGCTTTCTTTTCACCAGGCATTTTACTGATGTTTTAAACGGTACAGTATCAAGAACTGCAGCCAACATGTAAGCGCATCATCTTCTCTGATGTACTAAGCATATACCCACTGTAACATGAAATAATCCAGTAACCGATTACTCTGGGCTATATCACAACCTCTATCTTCTAAGCAGCGATGCACCAGAAGTTACTTTTGCTCTACCGTAATTTCATCTGCTCGTATTTGAACGTTACCACGTCCGTGTGTGTCCCCCCCGCTTCTGTCCAGGAACAGCGGCACGAATCAGCCCCATCCCGATCCCAGCGGCACGGAGCACACACCGCTGCCAGGGGAGCATCTCCGGACGGCTACCCCTCCCCAGGTAACCGCGGCCAGCAAGCTCCCCTCTCCCCCCG